GACTGCTGTTGAAAAAGCCACGCCATCAGATGCGCGTCACGAGAGTCCACCCCAGTAGACCCCACTACGTACAAAATTTGAAATTTTCCCAAAAACTTCTGATTAAGCTAGTTTGTTTTCAATAACTTTTGCAATATTAACAGTAGACCCTTCAAATTTTCACCAAATGTTACTCCAGACATTTCTGCATGGTAACTGTGTCATAGAATTTTAATTTAGGGACCCAATTTTGTGCAAGACTCCGGTATCTGACGACCGGTCGCGGACTTGGTTATTGTATTGTCAACTTCTATTGCACACTGAGCGAGCTATATTTTGAGTACAAAGATAAACTTTACACCAGGTGAAAGCTGAGACGTTTCTCTTTAAGATGATCACCTCACATTCTGTGTATCTGTGACATTGAGATAGTAACGATTCAAAACGTCAAGTTGAACAGGCTACAAAATACGCGCTGAATAAAAGTCCACCCCAGGAGTCCACCCCACGCGCGTAGGGTGATATATATACAATAAATTAAATCAAGTGATGCAATTGGCAGAGCACAATCGTAAATCCTGAGCAATAGATATCATCTATCCCTCGTAGCTCTTCTCCTCAGGTATCAGGTTGAAGGAGACGTTGAATATAGGGGCGGTCCATGCCTTCTTTGCCTTTCCACGTACACCTCTAACTGCTACTAGCACACTCATCATTATATCCATGCTCAGGCGTGTCCTGATGTTACACATCACCTGGCTGTAGTCCTCCTTTGTCTTGGTGGCTATCAACACAGCAAGTCTCCTTATGAAACGCTTGGCCTCCGGTGCCATTCCTCCTGTAGTGGTAAATACAAGGGGGACGAATGACCCTTTCTCCAATTGTAGCACTCGGTTCATGTACTGGTTCTTTTTCTCATTCTCGTGCAGAGTGTAGAGCTGTGGCATGGTCTTTCCTTGATATGTAGGCGATTTAGGATTGAAAATGCGCACATCAAAGAAAGTCCTCTCAAATGTGCTCCACACTCCTCTTGCTGATATATCAAGCCTAGCCTTATCAGCATTGTTGCCCTTTTGTTGGAAGTTGGCCGATTCTATAGGTGTTAAAAGGGGCTCAATCCTCACATCCTTGGTCACCAGCCTAAGGTATTCAGCAACGGAGTCTCTCACGTTGTTATGACGGTAGTTCACATACCCCCCTCTCTTACAGTTGAGGATATGATTGTGATCATTCTTGGCTCCACAATCGCAGAATCTTGGGGTGTTAGGGATGTCCCAACCATACCGGAGATGAACAGCATCTCTGAAGTCTTGCTTGCTGTAAGCATACCCTAGCTGTTGAATGGGAAGACATGTTAGCCAAGCTCCTGACCCATGCTCTTGTACCAGCTGCAATGACTCCCTGGTATTCTCATCCACTTCACTCATTATCTCAGCAAGCTCCTTCTTCAAGCGTAATTCTTTAACTAACTTGAGGCAATCTACTCTGCCCTTTATCTTAATTATTTGCAGCACAGCAAAATGTTCAGCATGAACATTTTGTTCATGGTAACATAACAACATTCAGATAATATTTATGGAGCAACACAATTCAGCTATCTTATCTTATCCCCAAATGTATACATCTAACCATATCTCTGGTTACTTCAAACTACTTCAATCCCCAAATTTATACATGAACATCATCGTTATATACATAATACATGATACAGGTACCACCAATGGGCAGAAACAAACAATTCCAGCTCTTTTCACTTACTATGGCTCCTCCAACCTCTGCTATGTCTAGCATGAAATTGGAGGGGTCAGGGGGTCTTACCGCGCGGCGCTTTTACTCGCATCACGCATTTGAAAATTTCCTTGACGGATGTTACTCGTCTAAATTTCTTCGAAGTAGCGCGCGCCGCTTTCTTGGCAAGTGCTACGAAGTAGCGCGCGCCGGGCCAGATCATTAACAATGGTCAAAAAAATTTCCCAATGAGATATGAGGTCTAAAAATTTAAGAGGTCTAAAAATGTTGTCATTATTAGACCTCTTACCCACCGCGAGCTGATTACTCAGGACGCACAAACACGTCAAGATAAAAACGTTTCGCGCCCTACAAAGTTCGGTAGACCTTGATTTGCAACTAAACGCTTGTAGTTTGCATTGCGCGCGCAGCTTTTGCACAGTTTAGCTCAACATCAACCATGCATATAACTATTGTTAATATTTATATTGACCATTGTTGATTGTTAATGGTCAGGCCCGGCGCGCGCTACTTCGTAGCACTTGCCGTCGGGCCAACATTTCGAAAAGAAAGCGGCGCGCGCTACTTCGAAGAAATTTAGACGAGTAACATCCGTCAAATTCTTATGTAATAGCTGATGTCTAAGAATGTCTACCATGGTAAAGTACACGTCCGGTCCCCATATTGACATATAGGTTGGTCCATTGTTAATCGACTAGCTCGGCGCGCTATATACTTCGTAGCACTTGCCTTTCGAGAAGAAAACGGCGCGCGCTACTTTACCTGGGGACCCCAGGTTATTACATTTATGTTCAAAATAATTAATCAGAGAATAGAGATTCGGCGGAATGACAGGCGCGGCTGAGTGCCGCCCAGTAACCAATCAAAATGTCAAAAGTGTTTTAAAAATTTTGTGGATGTCCGCAAGTTAATAACTGTCATACGTTGTCATGTATGATCCGCCACCCACGAGAGTCGTGCGCGGCTCCGGCCCCTGTATCATAAGAACGAAAGTGAAACAACCGTGGGGGTCACGACGTGATACAAGCAAGGCCCAGTAGTGCATCTCGCCGACCTAGGATGATGATTAATCACTCTACACTCGACTGTCACGTGACTTTTTAAACACGTTCTCTTGGTGGCCCTGAATGACTATTCGAAATCATAGCCCTCTAATCTGATCCCAACCCTAACCCTAACCCAATCTTTAACAAAAGCATATGCTGAAACCCTAACCCTAACGAGAAATTAGACTAACCTCCGTATATGGTCATATCACGTGATCAAGACAGTTTTTCGCCAATATCTCGCTAGGGGAGCATTTTAACCCTATGTCATGGGGGTGATTCGGAATCAGCGTCCGAAAATACATCGAATGATTTTGGTCTCAACTGTCGGGGGGCCTTTTAGAAAAATTTCGAAGATCGACTGTAGAGTGATTTAGCACGCTCGGCCGACCTACGGAAGAATTCGCGAGACTAATTATTTGATGCGCAGCGCGGCCCAGTAGTGCATTACGCTACAATATTTGTCAATGGTAAGGTTGACGGATGTAACTCTGCATCTGTACTTGTCAAATTTCTTCGAAGAAGAGCGCGCGCCGCGCCGCACTTAATTGACGATGTCAATTCATCGCAGCTCGGCGCGGCACAGTAATATAGCGCATCGCACTACAAGCGCTGCACTTTTATTTGACCGTTGTTAATGGTCTGGCCCAGCGCGCGCTATTTCGTAGTACTTGCCATCGGGCCATAATAGCGCGCGCTACTTCGACGAAATTTCGACGTCTAGACGAGTAACATCCGTCAACATGAAAGCACAAACGTTTATTGTTACTATCATGATTAAACTATAAGCTGAAAAGCTTTTAAATCGTTTTTAACCACTAAATGTAATGCTTTAAAAAATGTTTTTGATTATTAAATATTTTAGTTTATATCATATTGAACCTATATTTGATAATTTATTCGAAAGTACTTTAGTTAATTTGATTAGTTGATATCAATATTGATATTGTTGAATGAAGTTAACTCCTGAGATATATTTTATTATTTTTTAACAAAGAGACTCGGAGTAAAAACGACCAAATTCGTATAAATGCCTACCCAACCAAGAACTCAGGAGGCAAGGCTGGGTGCGTAAGCTTCACGGTCTGCATTCTCCGATCCTGTATCACGCGGATTCTTTTCGACGTATTTTTGTGATAGGTTGTATATATCTTCTAGCCACTCTATTGCTACTACAAGTCTACAAGTATAAAGGCCCTGCTAGTTATACATGACATATATTTTTGTTTGCTTTAATTGATACTAAATAAAATTGTTGTTTTCTTGGAATTGTTGTTTTCTTGACCTAGTTACATCTTCATGTCAGTAAAGGAAAAATGTACCTGTATTGCTCATTTATTTAAAAACCTAATCAAACTTCCCAGTGAAATATAAAGATTTATAAAAAGCTTCTTTGCCACACTTGTTTACTTTGTGATAAATGGCGTAAAATTGAAATTTTTGTTTAACTGAAATTTTTGTTTAACTGACAAGGATGAAACCAGAAATATAATAATTGTTGTGTCTCTCTATATTAGGTCTCTTTATTAATAGCTGATCCTTGACCAGCTAAAAACAATATTTCCCCATGGTTCCTAAAGCAGGTGATAAATAATGTTTCCCTCTATCAGTCTATCAAAAACAACTATAATTGTAAAGTCAATTTCGATTATTAGTAATTGTGCCCTTACCCTCCTACACAATTTGAACATTTTTGTGGCTAATTCATTGAACCTCGTCCAATTTAATATGTATTAAAAATGATTCAGTCTTAGTAAGTTAGCTTTTAATGTACGCTGTAGTTCAGAAATGTAAACCAAACTCTTTTGATCAGCCACGTGCAGAACCAGTGTTGCAAAGTAAAACTTGTGTTTTTTTAAAATTTATTAATTCATCACATATCATAAATTATTTTATTATAATAAAACCACTTCTGTGAAATGTTTACTTTGACTTAAAATATTTCAACTAAATATGAATTGATTAAGGGTATAGAATAAAATTTTTTTAATTAAAAATTTTGCTTTAGAATTAAGAACAAATTAGATGTACCGTAGTTAAGTTTTTCAAAATTGTCCTACATTCAAACGACGATTTGGCGCCCCTCAGCACAGCAGGGTCGGCGGGGCACTTCATTACGCCACTGTTCAAACCTGTCAACAGAAGTTTAAAAATTTTATTATACAATTTTATTGTAAATTAATATAATATAATATAAGGATGAATTTAAAACTTGTTTTTCTCAGTATGTTCATTAGTATTGGGTTATGCATCCTATTGGGAGTACTACCTATCTCCTCGAATGAAGAGTTATTCTCTCACACTACTCTGAGAAAAGTTCCTGCTATTATTGGAGCACCACTTGAAATCAGGTGAATGAAGAATACGTTTTAAAAGCAATGTATAATTGATCATTTACATTTTTTACATTTACATCATTTGTAGTTGACTCTTTTTAGTGGGTTAAGTCAGAGTTCTTGCATGAGCTTATAGCCTTATTGGGCACTAGATACCCACTGTGCTGTTATGATTGTTACCTAGAATAGTCTAATTCCAATGATTGCTTTACAGAGTAATATTTCAAGAATTTGGCTAATTTTAGATAATCATGAGATTTTCAGATGCTCAAAGATTATACAAGAATATAATTCTAATTTACGGATTTACTGCAACAACGAAAATGGTTATACAGTTGAAGAAAACGAACACTCTTGTAACTACACATGGGAAAGGAAGGGAGAAGCTATATCAACTGAAGATGCCAATTATGAAATTTACAGTTTCCTGACCTATGACTACTGTGAGATCTTACAAGGAGGATCAGACATCATTAAAGCAATGGACATCACTACTGAAAGTCTTGAAGAGTATTATAGATTTACTCTAAACAGAAGAAGAACCAAATGCTTCACATCGGTTCTTTCAATACGCAATGTCACAGAGGATGATTTTGGTGATTACAAATGCATCTGGGGCTCTCGTTCGAGATGGGATGGACCTCAATCTTTAAATATCACTGTTCTTGATTCGGCATCTGATGAGAAATTACCCACAAACATCACATACTTTAAAAGAAACTTCAATATTGGTCTGAAGTCAAAAGTTCTGATGCAGTGTGTTGTTGAAAATGGCCCCGTTTTTTGGTTTTTCAGTACCACAAATAAAACAAAATCCGAAACTATTCAACCCATAGAAACTACAACTGAAAGCGATGCTTGGAATTGCTTCAGCTACAGTGAGAAGAGTCACAAAGTCTCAAATATAACTGAGTCATTTATATTTTTCGAGAATGTCTGTATTTTTGATCAAGGATACGATATATACTGCAGTGCTGATTCTGAAGGAAAGTTACTATCCAGAGGAGAACACCTACGTGATTCTTATTCTGAAATGCCTTATTATGAGATCTATGGATATTCACGTTGGCAATTTGAAAATGAAATGCATTATCATATGGGTATTGTTATTCCTACTGTAACGATTCTTTTCTTCTCTGTTGCGTCTGTGCTTGCATGCTGTCGGGGTGGACTCTGTGTTGATTGGTGTTGTGAGGGAATGTGCTCTTGTCTTACAAACCCTGGAGACACCCGAACTCCTACCATTACAGTAAACAACCCTGTGTGCCCTGTGCCCAACACTGCCCCGGTAGTTTCTGCTGCTAGTCCCCCGCCAGGATATAATGTTCTTCCAAACCAAACTTATGCTTGAGCTTACTATAATATTTGTCGCTAACACTTAAGCCGTAGTACATGCATAATATGATTATTACATTACACTGGAGCTTATACAGTGTAATTTCCTCCAGTCTGCGCCGCGCGGCTATATAAACGTACGCGGCACAGACTGGAGGAAATTACACTGTGTAAGCTCCAGTGTAATGTAATATGTATGTACTACGGCCTAAGGGGATTTCAATGGTTATTGCCTCCTTTCTTAGTTTATAACCTCTGTCAAGTTTTGAGTTGAATAATTATAATCACAGTATACTCTTATCTGTGGCATTTGTATCTGGTACATAAACTTTCTATAAATATTGATAAATATTTAATTAAATTATTATTGTAGTGGTCACTGGTCATTAGACTATTAAATGTCGACAGCAGAATGAAAGATTGTGGTATTATTGCCATCACTGCAACAATTATAGCATGTATTTAAACCTGTTGATTTGTAGTTTAGTTTTACAAAGTTTTATCTTAACTGTTTGTTATTTTTATGTTCTCCCTAAATACACTCTATTAATGTTGGAAGAGATCGAATCTCTCTATGCACTACTATCTATAAAGTTTAAAATAAGCGGTATGGTAGAGCAAGTTAGGCCTGCTAAGGTGGCAAATATAGGTAATGTTATTATTATATATAATATATTCAACTGGTACCGCATGAATTTCTATTATGCGAAGATTTGTAAAGAAAAATTGCTTATTTATTATAATTTTATGCATGGGCTAGTGACTTTCTTTTACTAGTGCAGTGAGTCTTCACGACACCCAATTTATAAGTCTTTTTTATTACCTTTTACTTACTTTTACTTTTTTATGAAAATTATTTGTATGCTAATTATATTAGTTTTTTCCCTCTCAATCTGAGGCGTTTGTTTCATTGTGAGTCCCTACAATTTAATCTAAGCTTAAATTGAACTGTGTAGGTTGCATGTCATACATATTTGTACCTCATACTATAATATGTTTTGATTCTATGTCCTTAGAAGGGTATTCTCCTAACAGTTTTTTTAATTCTAACAGCTTCTTTAAATTATTTGTACTCTTATAGTATTGCTGTGTAAGTTTAATTATAATTATAATTATAATTATAATTCTACTTCTACTTCTAATTCTAATTCTAATTCTAATTTAATTCTAATTCTAATTCTAAAAGACTTTCCAACCCTTTGTGACGTCGCCCGTGACGTCTTTATTCAAATTATAAATTCTGAAACAGCTTATTAATAATAATTCAATTAATATCAATTATTCATAAGGTTTCCAGCAATTAATGCATTTCCCCCCATTTATTAGTTGATGGAAAGAGGCTAAAAACAAGAGTGACAACAGTGACTATTATATATTAAGTGACCAGTGTTAATAGAAAAACACATGTGATACAAAGATTATCAAGCTAGAAAACCATACATTTGAGTAATCAATCAATCTGGAAAGATAACAGTGATTTAAAGATAGCAGAGTGAGAACTTGCTCAGCTAATTAATTCAGTGGATGCTGGGTTTCTGAACAGTGTCCTTTTGTCTCTTTCTAACATCTTGTGGTCGTCATGTCTGCTGCTGCCAAGAACCTGTACGGAGTGTTCCCAATCTATAAACCTGCTGGTGAGTGTTAGTAACAGCCCCCACCCCCGACCCCCTTAAGTAAAATAAATGGTATACAAGCGAATAAACTTAGTTACCTTTGCAACTGTTCTTACTTGATTTAAAGATGCTTTTGACTTCTTGTCAATTCACGTCTAGACTTGAACACATCGCTTTCTTTTTGCAGATCATAGAGTATTAGTGACAAAAGTAATAGTGCTACATTTAGATTGTTACTTTTTATAATACCCTTAAACACTTCCAGGTTGTTCAACTTCTTCGATACTAAAGAAGATAAAATCGAATCTAGGCACCGATAAGGTTAGTAATTTAAAGCTAGAGGGATATTCATATATTAAGATTTTGCCACTATCGTCATTCCTAAAATGGCAAAAACATCCAAAATCCCTTTCGCAATTCCTTGTTGTAGTGCAAAAAACCTATGGAATACCTCTGGCATTCCTACTCTTAAAATTCCATGGTATTTTCTCACAATTGCTCCAATATAAGCAATTTCGAACACATTTTGTCCCATATTATGCAGCTGGTTTTATTCGTAATTATAAAAAATGATACTCTGTAGATAACGGTAAAATCTGGAAGCTGATAATGAATGAAAACATAGTACCATCTAGAATGAATTTGATAAGTTTTATCAGAAGATGAAAGCAATTAAAAATGTAAACAATTAAAGTAAGATTCTCCTTTCACTTATTAATTATTTACTGTATATCACCCAATCAATTTAATACAGTATGAGCAAGAACTGCAAATCTCAAACAAAATTTGTATATTATATTGTCAAGGAGGTGTGGAATTAAACTAATCAGTCAATACTTTTTATGTTCTATATTAACAGTTTTTTGATATAACAGTTTTTGACTGATTTGAATGTCCTGCACAGCAGATCGAAGCATCTCTAAATTATTTACTATTTTTATTATATTGCTGTGTAAATTTGATTCTAATTATAATTCTAATGTATATCTCAAATTCTGTAAATGGCTCTGGAGTCTAAATCAAAATCGACAAAAATCATGAATAAAAGTACTAATGACATCACGTAGAACTTAAGTTTTTATTCATTTGTTATTCAATATTCATGTTGATGTAGGTACCTTCAGGAGTTGTGTCTTGTGCATTCATGTTGATGTAGGTATCTTCAGGAGTTGTGTGTTGTGAATTCATGTTGATGTAGGTATCTTCAGGAGTTGTGTCTTGTGAATTCATGTTGATGTAGGTATCTTCAGGAGTTGTGTCTTGTGCATTCATGTTGATGTAGGTTCCTTCAGGAGTTGTGTCTTGTACATTCATGTTGATGTAGGTATCTTCAGGAGTTGTGTCTTGTGCATTCATGTTGATGTAGGTATCCTCAGGAGTTGTGTCTTGTGCATTCATGTTGATGTATGTTCCTTCAGGAGTTGTGTCTTGTGCATTCATGTTGATGTAGGTATCTTCAGGAGTTGTGTCTTGTGCATTCATGTTGATGTAGGTTCCTTCAGGAGTTGTGTCTTGTACATTCATGTTGATGTAGGTATCTTCAGGAGTTGTGTCTTGTGCATTCATGTTGATGTAGGTATCTTCAGGAGTTGTGTCTTGTGCATTCATGTTGATGTAGGTATCTTCAGGAGTTGTGTCTTGTGCATTCATGTTGATGTAGGTATCTTCAGGAGTTGTGTCTTGTGCATTCATGTTGATGTAGGTTCCTTCAGGAGTTGTGTCTTGTACATTCATGTTGATGTAGGTTCCTTCAGGAGTTGTGTCTTGTACATTCATGTTGATGTAGGTATCTTCAGGAGTTGTGTCTTGTGCATTCATGTTGATGTAGGTATCCTCAGGAGTTGTGTCTTGTGCATTCATGTTGATGTAGGTTCCTTCAGGAGTTGTGTCTTGTGCATTCATGTTGATGTAGGTATCTTCAGGAGTTGTGTCTTGTGCATTCATGTTGATGTAGGTTCCTTCAGGAGTTGTGTCTTGTGCATTCATGTTGATGTAGGTATCTTCAGGAGTTGTGTCTTGTGCATTCATGTTGATGTAGGTTCCTTCAGGAGTTGTGTCTTGTGCATTCATGTTGATGTAGGTATCTTCAGGAGTTGTGTCTTGTCCATTCATGTTGATGTAGGTATCTTCAGGAGTTGTGACTTGTGCATTCATGTTGATGAGGTATCTTCAGGAGTTGTGTCTTGTGCATTCATGTTGATGTAGGTATCTTCAGGAGTTGTGTCTTGTGCATTCATGTTGATGTAGGTTCCTTCAGGAGTTGTGTCTTGTACATTCATGTTGATGTAGGTATCTTCAGGAGTTGTGTCTTGTGCATTCATGTTGATGTAGGTATCTTCAGGAGTTGTGTCTTGTGCATTCATGTTGATGTAGGTATCCTCAGGAGTTGTGTCTTGTGCATTCATGTTGATGTAGGTTCCTTCAGGAGTTGTGTCTTGTGCATTCATGTTGATGTAGGTATCTTCAGGAGTTGTGTCTTGTGCATTCATGTTGATGTAGGTATCTTCAGGAGTTGTGTCTTGTGCATTCATGTTGATGTAGGTATCTTCAGGAGTTGTGTCTTGTGAATTCATGTTGATGTAGGTATCTTCAGGAGTTGTGTCTTGTGCATTCATGTTGATGTAGGTATCTTCAGGAGTTGTGTCTTGTGCATTCATGTTGATGTAGGTTCCTTCAGGAGTTGTGTCTTGTGAATTCATGTTGATGTAGGTATCTTCAGGAGTTGTGTCTTGTGCATTCATGTTGATGTAGGTATCTTCAGGAGTTGTGTCTTGTGCATTCATGTTGATGTAGGTATCTTCAGGAGTTGTGTCTTGTGCATTCATGTTGATGTAGGTATCTTCAGGAGTTGTGTCTTGTGCATTCATGTTGATGTAGGTTCCTTCAGGAGTTGTGTCTTGTACATTCATGTTGATGTAGGTATCTTCAGGAGTTGTGTCTTGTGCATTCATGTTGATGTAGGTATCCTCAGGAGTTGTGTCTTGTGCATTCATGTTGATGTAGGTTCCTTCAGGAGTTGTGTCTTGTGCATTCATGTTGATGTAGGTATCTTCAGGAGTTGTGTCTTGTGCATTCATGTTGATGTAGGTATCTTCAGGAGTTGTGTCTTGTGCATTCATGTTGATGTAGGTATCTTCAGGAGTTGTGTCTTGTGCATTCATGTTGATGTAGGTTCCTTCAGGAGTTGTGTCTTGTGCATTCATGTTGATGTAGGTATCTTCAGGAGTTGTGTCTTGTGCATTCATGTTGATGTAGGTATCTTCAGGAGTTGTGTCTTGTGCATTCATGTTGATGTAGGTATCTTCAGGAGTTGTGTCTTGTGCATTCATGTTGATGTAGGTATCTTCAGGAGTTGTGTCTTGTGCATTCATGTTGATGTAGGTTCCTTCAGGAGTTGTGTCTTGTACATTCATGTTGATGTAGGTATCTTCAGGAGTTGTGTCTTGTGCATTCATGTTGATGTAGGTATCTTCAGGAGTTGTGTCTTGTGCATTCATGTTGATGTAGGTATCTTCAGGAGTTGTGTCTTGTGCATTCATGTTGATGTAGGTATCTTCAGGAGTTGTGTCTTGTGCATTCATGTTGATGTAGGTATCTTCAGGAGTTGTGTCTTGTGCATTCATGTTGATGTAGGTATCTTCAGGAGTTGTGTCTTTCATTTCGACGTTGATATCTTCAGGGGTGGTGGTTTTTATTTTCCGGATAACTGTCCACGATATTATAGCGAGACCTATCAGGAGAATCAGGAACCCTCCACTACCAGCTCCAATACGGACGTAGAAATCTGTTCTGGAGCAGTCTTGTTCGAGTTTTGAAAACGCTAAACTGTTCTTTCCTTTGGGGCATTGGGTGCAGTTATTTCCATATCAATACTGCCCACCTGTGCAATTACTTACATCAGGGAAGCAGCCAACCTTTTTCTTTGTAAATGCATAGCTTGTGTTTCCGTCAGGACACTGGGTACAATCATTTCCATAGCCATATTGACCTCTGGTGCAGTCACTTAAATCAGGGAAACATTCTTGTTCTTTCACGGTACTGGGCTTGCTGGTCTGATTTTCTGGACACTGATGACAACTTTCCCCAGTTCCCCACTTCTCTTCAGGACAGGAACTGTTTCCAGTGTAGCACTCTCCAGCACCAGATATACTTGTTTCTCCCGTTGTACAATCCTCACAGTCTTTACCAACACCACCTTCTCCTGCTTTACAATTGTACCCGACTCTAGTGATCTGACCAGTTTGCAGGTCTTTGTCATTATCTTTGAGAACACAGTTCACCACATCTAGATCTGTCAGAGATAGTGTCATTATTAGCCGGGGAGGTGTTGAGGTAGTATATCCACTCTCGTCTCTCGTTATATTAACATCATCTCCACAATCTAGTGTCACCTGTTCTAGTGGCCAGCCTTGCGCAACCCACTGGAACTCAGTATCTTTGTTGTTGGCTTTGTAGTAATACTGTACTTTGTTGTTCTGGAACCAGTTCCAATCTTGGGCTGATTTAAAGTTGTAGTCCAAGCTTGTAGAATTGCCAGGATCTCCAAGATATATCTTGTAAAAGTCGGAATATTGGTCCGAAATCTGGAAATTAGCTGCCTTTCCAGTTACATCTTCACGTATCTCTCCAATAATTTTCCCGACTTCATCATCTCCATTCTTTCCTGAAACTTTAAATATGGTGTACCCATTAGACTCGGAGTAATGTATCCAAAGTACAAGAGCTTGGTTCGACTCATCAGACTCATGCACGTAGAACCTCAAGAATTCATTTACTTGATGGTGGGCTGTTTTATAATCACAAGATGAAAAAGTATCAAAACTAGCGGATATGATGCCAGCAACTTTGCCTTTTCTCACTGCATCTTCAAAGGAAGTATCGTCTATGCTAGAGTGACTTTTCCAGTCATCTCTGGGATTGTCATAAAGAAACTCACAAACGGTCTCACAGCTTTTAACGGCCCCAAATGAAAGAACAATCAATACGAACAAAAGTAAACTCCTCATAACGAAAAGCAATCTTCGAAACTGAAGGAATAGTAAAATATAACCAAGTTTTGATAAGACAAAACCTTACTCAGGACTTCCTACTATTATACGATATTCATATTTCTAGTTTTCTCGAAATGTTCCATACGGTTGAGACTTCCTTACTGAACACTAGTGAATACTTCCAATACGATGGTACCGTGTAGCTACTCAGAAGTCAGGATTCACATTTCCATTTTCTCACTAAGTTAATAGTACTACTATACGTAAACTCCAAGGAGAGGGTTATATGGCGTAGATCGGACTATGTTCCGACCGAGAGGTGTCAGTAAT